TGCGATTTGGTCCGAAAGGGGCCCTGGGCCTAATTTGGATTTTTTTTGGAACACGTGCAGGTACTGTTAGTGTGTTTCAGTTCTCCGGAAAAAATTCAGGGAAAATTAGGGACGGTCTGTAGGCGCACTGTGAATCGTATTCGGATCCCGGAAACGTGTAAGGACCCCTCACCCTATTTCCTATCACGGTATTAAAGTTCAAAATGATAAAACGGTATTTCTTGAATTAACGCATGTGTGAAATTACTTAAGGTTGCTAATGGAGCCCGAGTCTAGTGTGATTGATGATTTACTGTTATTTGGCCTGTTTTACAGCTTTAAATGCATTATGAGGTTTGATGTGTTCATTTTATAGTTTTCGAGTACATATATTACTGTTTTATTAATTATGGGTTGAAAGACTGAAGAACTGATTCTGTATGTTGTCTGTTTGGCATGAATTACGATTTGCTTGTTTAAATGTGAATTGATGATGCTTATTGAGGAAAAGGAGAATGAAAGATTGTGTAGACTGATAATTGTATGATGGGGTCAGCCTGACTAGATATCCTGGGAGATGGTGGACGGACCGGGTCCGTAGGGAACCCTACCGGGATTGTGGTCTCACATGCCGGACGGGGTATGGGGACGGCCCGTTTCACCCTCATACCGGACGGGGTATTGAGGTTTATGGTTTTGGCGCCCATACCGGACGGGGTATGGGGACGGCCCGTTTCACCCTCATACCGGACGGGGTATTGAGGTTTATGGTTTTGGCGCCCATACCGGACGGGGTATGGGGACGGCCCTGGAAACTGTTTATGAATGTTAAAGGTTAACGGGTAGCGGGGACCCCTAGGGACCCCCATGGATACTAGTAGGCTGGTAAATGAGAAAAGGATATGTTGTATAATGATTGAATTACAAAAGGCGTGATAAGTGCTATGTTTTACAGCTTATATTATTCCATGATTGTGATAATGTTATTATTTTTCTTATATTGTTTTCATAAATTCCACCGAGGTAAGTGGATGGTAAAGGTTTTCATGTTAATAAACGAGTTTATTGTAAATTATGCTCCATTGGTCTTTTTGTGTTTTTCTACCCACCTTTACCTCCGTGACGGTGAGATATCGTGATGTTCTTACTGGGCTAGTGTAGCTCACTCCTTATTTAACCATTTCAGATCAGGAAGACATGGTTCCCGAGCCCATTCCGCAGGAGGACGACGAAGGGGATGCCTAGAGACTCTGTAGTCATACTCATAGTTTTATTTTCGAGTTTCTCTCTTAGTTAGTTTAATCTTTTATATTTTAAGTACGTTTTTGGTTTTTCGTGTAAGGGATGTTAACTGAAATTTTGATCTCGCTTCCGCATTTGATATATTTAAATACTCATTTCATTTTAATATTTCCGGGGACGTTACAATGTAAGAAATGTAAACCCTAAACTCTAAATTGCTTTCGCTTATAATCAATATAATTTGATATTTTCATTTCCTTAAGTTTTGGGCCTTTACATGTGATATTCAAATAAATGGTACGAATCTTAATTAGTAGACAAGCTTGTTGGTGGTGAATTAAATTGATTGACTTTTAGTAGAAGGAAATTAATTTACTTCATGATTTGATTACAATTAAATATTTTAATGAGTCTACCTAAAATTTTAATCATATAATATATATATATATTCAAACATATTTAACGCATGTAAGAAATTTTAGAACTTATTTTTTTAAAATTTTATTTAAGGTTATATTAAATGTTTTTCCATATTTATTTTAGAATTTATATTTAAGTTTTAGAAAACATTTTCTTAATTTTATTTAGAATTTTCTGAAAATTTTATTTTTTTATTTTTTATAAAATTTAATTATTTCATAATTAAAATAAATATAAAATTTCAAATTTTTTATTATATTTCATAAAAATGGGTCTTGTAGAAAAGTAAATAACTAATAATTGTTGAATGAAATCTTTGTCCTTTAGTGCTTGCTTATTTTTAACCCTTTATTATGTCACGTTTTGTATGATCTTTAATTAATAAAAAAAAATCAATTTAATATAAGTTTTTAACAACCGTTTTTATTTATTTATGGAATTTAAATTAATTAACAATTTTTAAATAAATTAATATATGATTAACAACACAATTAATATTAATAATATTAAATATATAGTAAAAAATATTAAATAATTAATTAACAAATTACCCTAATTTGACCCACATAAATGTGGTATGATATGACCACCTCAAAGTCTTGAAAATGGACCCACTAAAAGGAATCATATTAACCTTTTTCAGATTTGTTCACATTGTATGTTTTTGTATCTAACAAAAGTAATATATAAGTATAGAATGCAATTATTTTGGTGTCAACAAAATTTTTATGCATATTATTTATTACTAGTAGGTATTGGATTACATGTTTCAACCAAACTTATCTTATAAATTTTTAGGAATAATTTAGTATATGTTATCATATATTATTGTTTTAGATGGGTTGAGAGTGGATTGATTTAAAACCAAACTCTTCAATTAAATTGAAATAAATGTTATTTAATATGAGTTATATGCTATTAATTTTATAATTATGTTTGGCATGAATAATTTTCAAATTTACTTACTTTTAAATTGTATGTAATTTTTTTAAATAAGAAATGTGATTTATTATAAAGTTTTTATGTCACGTCTGGTTGAAACCTATTAAATTTTATTTTAGTTTTTACATATTAGTTTTTCAATAGGTGAAATTTAATTATATTTTTATAAATTTTATATCTAGTTAATAAACTTTTTTGTAGGCAATTTTGAATTTGTATTATAATATATCAATAAATAGATATAAAAGTAATTAATTCAAATTGAATATAGAATTAATTGATTTAGGATTATAATAATATTTTTATTCAAATTTTTATATTGTATTTTCGTTTAAATTTTAGTTATTATAAATTTGAACTAAATTTTATCGATATTTGACATGAGTCAATTAACTGAGACTTTAATTATAACATAAAATTTTCTGAAACCATCTTTTTATTTGACGAACTCTTTATATGACTCGAGCCATAAAATTGGGAGAGGGAGATAATGCTTAATTGCAAACTATAAGAGGGAGAAGTAAATGTATTTTTCTCCTATAAAACATTTGAGGAGTAATACATGTCTCCTATGTGCAATTTTATCCTTAAATAAAAGTTAGTTGATAAATTTAAGTAATATTATACACCATATAGATGATTTTTACCTATTATATATATATATAATGGTGATTGCTTTGTTTTTTTTTAAACAAAAATTTTAATGTTTCACTCTCTTATATTTTCATTACAAAAATCTTGAATCATCACATTAAAATGACCATCTTTCATTGCATTTTTTTAAAAAAAAAATTTAATGAACTATTGATATTTATTATCTTTAATATAAATGACATGAAAAATTGAAATTCACTTATTTTGAATTTTTTTATTTTAAAAAATTAAAAGTTAATCAACACTTAATATTATTTTTTTTTATTAAGAACTTTAATTATAATCTAAATATTTTTGAGATTATTTTTTTTTAGAACTTATTGTAATCTAAGTCTCGAAAAATAAAAAAAGAGATAACAACAGACAATGAATTATAAAAATAGTAAATGAATAAATTTCAATATTTTTTTTAAATACCTTATAAAAGCTTGTTTGTAATTTATTCTACAAACTAATGACTCTCTTGATCAAATTCCAAAAAATTAAAGTAAAAAAATATATATATAATATCTTACCCATTTTATCATGTGAGTTTCCAAAATACGTTTATGATTAATTATGCGAATTTAACAATAAAATCATTGAATTCAAATTGATGTTGTATGCAATATTTATCTTAAAAGATAAAATTCAATTATAATGTATAAATAAAAATAACACATGTAACAGGTAATCGTCAATTATCAATTTTCTTTAGTTGAGATATTAAATTTTAATTATGAAAAAAAAAAAAAAAAAATATAAAATAAGTAAAATATCAATATATTCTCAGACACTACTTTACAATTAGCATTCTCCACATGATACATATATTAATAACTATAAAAGAGGCATATACTATGCCTAAAATATATTATCCCAATAATATAAAGTCAACCACTATACATTATCTTTTTTTTTTTTAATTTTATTTTTTAAAAATGCTTGTGTCATGATGATAACAATGAGAATAAATAAGTAGCAATAAATTGTAAGCCAGCTAAATATTAAAATATAAATATGTAGAATTTAAAAAAAAAATTAAAAATTGAGAGAAAAATACAGTGGTAAAGTTGAATTAATGAAATTAAACAAAACAAAATAATTAAAAATGGTAATTAAGAATTTAAAAAAAAAATTATTTTAAGATTAAATCAATTGTACTTTTATCAATTATGATTACTAAATGTGATTA